TTTCTCTTACTCCAATTTTCTTTTTTTCAGAAATTTAAAAGTTATATACCTGGATTTTCTTAGGTTATTCAAGAATGTGTGAGGTTTGGGCCAAGGTCAATGATACCATCCCCATTGTCTTCCCATTCCATTATGAGGAGGATTTGAGAGATGAGGGGGAGAGAGAGAGAACCTGAGCAAGAGTTGCAGCCAAGCCTGGCAATACTGCCACATCCAGGGCATGTTCCAGTGTCATGTCCAGCAGCCTCTCCCATGCCTATTAAAATCTGAGGCATGTTCTTTACCTTTGATTAAAAGAAGAAAAGTTAACCTTCTAATCAGTGGAGGGCCAAAGTGGGTCTAGTGGGATCATTGTGTATAACGTATTTGTGTTCCTGCACAGTATGTGTAAGTTGGAGATATATCTGTTCTTTTTCCTAATTTAAAGTGTTCTTTCTTTTAATTAAAGGTTTATTTAACTTCAGAATCTAAGTTTATGGATGGCACAGATCACACATTTATTGAAGTATATCAGATTGAAAAGTGAGAATTTGGGTATTATGTAAAACAACTTGAGAATCCTTGAATCTTTTCTTATCATCCGAAAGAAAATAACATGGCATTAGAATTAAATTTTGTGAAAAAGTAAATGACCTCACAATAACGTTGGTGGGATCATGAGGTAGAGAAGAAAAAGTAAAAGGTGATCAATTCTTGGTTTGTTTCATTCCTTTTAGATTTTCTTTGTAAAATTGAGGCATAGGGTACCTAGATTGGCTTAGATTTTTCAGGAATGTAGGAGAAATTAAATGGCAATAAATTTGACTTCTTGCATACCTGCACTTTAATTGCCAAAATATTACTTAAGCAGGTGTTCTTTAGAAGGCTCCTGGCTAATACTGTAGAAACTAAGAAAAATAGACCCAACCCCTGCCCATAGAATTTTAGAATCTAAGAGCAGCTATCATATAAAGAAGGCCATAAGATACTCCCTAAGATCTAAAGACAAGTAAAAAGAGGGGATAAGTAGGGGTGGTGGTTCCAGATGAGGTATCTAGTGTAAGTATCCTTAGGCAAGATAATTTGAGAATTTGGGCAACTGAATAACCTGTCATGGGAGGTAATGTTAAGTTAGCTGTGTGGTGGCTAGATCAGGCTGTGGGAGTGCTGAGCAGGGATCAGACACTCAGATGATGGGTCTCAGAGTTGAGAAAACAATCCTGAAATGGAAAACTACCCTTAATAGTTACTTTGGAATTGTGGCAACACCAAAGAGAATCCCTACCTGTGGCAGGGATAGAAAATGTACTGTGCTCTTGTCCCAGTGCAGGTGAACCCAGAACACAAACCAGGTGTTTTGTGCACATTGTCTCCAGGAGGTTTCTGAAAAATAAAAGTGATACTCTTTTGAGATTGGAAACTCAGAAGCCACTGGGCTGCTACTCTG